ATTCGTATACAGAACCTGCTTTTCCCCCCGATTCGTTTGGCAACGAATCCACTGGGATATATTCGGAAATGCTCTTTAACGATGAATGAAAATATATCTAGAAAAGTTGAATAAGTTCAGAAAAACTTGCTTGAGTATTATTTACAAATAAAACAGTAGCATTGAGTAAATATTTTTAAATTAGATTTTTGGTGTTACGGACAATTATACTTAGTATAATTCAGGATTTGCTTAAATTTTTGAAAGTTCAGTTAAAAATAGTTATTTGTAATATTAAAATTATTTAATTGCTATATTACGTAGCGTTCATTGCAAGTATAACTGCATTACTTAAAAACGCAAGTATTGTTAAATAATTACAATTAAAGTTAATTAATTAATTTGTAAGACTTACCATGTCCATCAGTTTTTTCTTCATAAAAGGTTTTATTGTGTTCATTAATATTTCTATTATAGATGGCGCATTTAAGACATGGACTTTCTTTATACGTAATGGTGCTGCCTCTTGGATATAATATAAACATTTTTTTAATGCCAATGGACTCATTCGTGTAATATGACCAAATGATAATTTGCTAACATCGATGATCAAGACGAAACCGTTCGTAATACCATATATCAAAATATTTACGTCCATTAACATGAAGCTATATCTGAGAACGGTATTAAAGTCAAAGAGAGACGAATCGGGTTCTAGTAGTGTTGCATATGTTATTTCATAGCCATCTTTCGTTGTTGCTTTCAGAGGAAAAGCAGTCCTATTTTAAAGCAATTTAATTTATTAATATATCAGAATATATCAAAATGTTAGCAAAAATATTCTGTAGTACTGTTAAAAATTTGCACATAATATAGCTATTCACATTTATATAATATATTTTTTCTGCATAAAACTCAAAATGTGTATACTTTAAATATTTTGAATATTGTAAATTAACATTTTACATATAGGGTAGGATTGGATATTGCAGCACATTAAGAAAACGTTTGGATATTTCTTGCATATTGAAGAATAAGAAAATCTTGTTTCTTTCATTTGATAAGTTTTAATGTACGTAATTGGGTATTGGAAATTTATTATTTTAATGCAAATGATCAGTGATAGAGGGTGCTTTAATTACCCAAACAGATCTCATATTATTCTTTAGGTAGAATAATATAGGTATCTGAGGGTAATATGAGCACAGAAATTTTTTTCAATTATGCAGAAATAAAAATAATATTTAAAATTTCTTGTTAGAATAAACGTTTAACATTTTGGTAGAAATTAAAATATACTTTTTACTTAAAAGGGACTGAAATATTCTAACAAAATAAG